GCAGAACCAGGCTCAGGGAGGGGCGGGGCCATCTGCTGTGATTGGTTGGTGTGAGAGAAGGAAGACAGGATAAAGACATGCTGTGGAAGAAACAGATGAACAAACAAGTATGACAGAAAACTCTGTGCCCTTTCTGATGAGCTGTTTAGGTCAGAGTCTGACTCTGGGGAACTCCAGGCCTCGAGAGCTGGTGTCCTGCAGCTTTTAATATCACCCTGGGCCAACACACCTGAATTACATGATTAGTTCACTACCAGGCCTCCGGAGGACTTCAAGACGTGTTGAGGAGGTCATTTAGCCATTTAAATCAGCTGTGTTGGATCAAGGGCACATCTAAAACCTGCAGGACACCGGCCCCCGAGGCCTGGAGTTCCCCACCCCTGGAGCAGAGGAAATTAAAGTGTAGTTTAACCTGTGGAATATTAAAGACTGCTTTTGTCCCCAGATTGTTCAGTGTCTCTCTGGTGAGTGGAGTGTGCAGGATGATTGGTGGAAACGGTGTGAATAACTCTAACAAGCCTGTCATAACGGTTTTTACTTCCTCCATCATCATCGGCTGAATGATTTTAATGAAACATCTTCAACAACAACTAAAACCTTTGCAGTGACCATCACACCTCCTGAAGAACCCCACAGAGTCTCGGGATTCCTCAGTGATCTGTGGAACCTCCTTACTGCTCCACGGTACGGTGTGTTACTCTCCAGGGTCCCGTGGGTTCAAAGGTAAAATAAAACGTTTCTGTCAGATGTCACAGAAACACTGTGGATTAGCTGCTAAGCTAAAGACGCCACATTTCCTTCCTTTCTTTCCTTGTCCTGAACCTGCTACGTCGACCCTCTTGGTGAGGTGTTTCCTCTCAGTGAAGTATTCGAACCGCAGCCTTCATGCTTTCATGGAAAGCTTTTACAGCTCTGCTGTTTCATTTCAACAAAATCCATCCTGACACTTTTGGGATCTGTGGAAAGTTTAAGATTTCCAGCAGAGTATGTAGTATTTATTTATTGTCATTGTCAAGAACAATGAAATTGCGTTTGGGGCTTCCATACAACCCAAGTTTAAAATAAAGAGGATTTGGATGGTGTTTGGATCAGAGCTGGAGTCAGATGAGGGTGAGCTGCTACACGTCCACCAACCTTTGTTGATCTTCCCCATGATGGCGACCTCCAGGTACTTCCTGTTGTCCTGCTTGCTGTAGATGCCCAGCAGAACTCCTCCGAGCTTTGCCGGCAGCCTGAACGTGGACACCACGTAGATGTCACTGAGTGCGCTCAGACCACCAGACAGCTTCTCCACCGCTGCAACGCTCTGCTTCGAGTCCTGCAGACCCAACACGTCGATCACTGAGGAGCAGGAAAGAGTGCACACAAGTGTTTCGTTAACACGAGAGTCCGTTAGCTCAGAAACCTCAAAGAGAAAAAAGCTGAACTGGTTTTTGACTCCTGTTCAGATTTTATCAGAGACACTGTGAGACAGATCTGACACTCAAAGGACTCACACAGGAATCGAACCCCTGCCCCAAACAGCCAATCAACGGCCAAACTGGAAATTAGAAGTCATGTTGTAGTGACAGCTGTGGACAAAGACCCACCGTGTGATCGCAGAGATATCTCTGCACTGATTATCTTAGCAAAGATGCAGAGAAGAATCCTGTTTTACTTTCTCGTCACTACTAATTAATCCACATGTCACAGAAATGTAACTTGTATGAAAAGATAACCAACAACAACCACAAGTAAAGAATGACACAATAAAAACATCTGGTTATAACAGGCATCAAAACTAAGAAATAAAGCGATGAGGGAATTCGCTCATTTCCAGATGTTTTCGATTTGTTGAGAAAGTCGTCAAATAGAAGAACTTTTTTCTTTTTATTACATTCAACACCAGGGCAGATGTTTGGCAAGTCTCTTTCGTTTTGATCGTCGACAACATGAAACTCGTTAGGTTTTGGTCTCAGTTTCAGAACCTTTACATACAATCAGCACACTTTTAACATCTGGAAAAGTGCTGGGCAGCGTCGGGTCGATGCCAAAGCCTGGCAGCATATTTTAAGACTTTCTGTGGTGACGTAGAAACAGATACTGCCTCGAAATGATTGATGCTAAGGCTGAAAGTTCAACACTAAAAATCATAAACTCTGTGATCGCCTGCTGAGCTGTCCAAGGTACACGCCGCCTCTCTCTCCAGCCAGCTGGGATCAGCTCCTGCCCTCAGGACGCTCTCCAGAATAAAGCAGACATAACTGAAGGATAAATGGAAATCATTTAGAAAGATGTAGGAGACCCACCGTCGCCCCCATTTTCCTTAAAGACCATCTTTATTGGTTTCTTCTTCATTTTTTTTATTAGAATCATATGAGCATCTGAGCATCTAACAGCTAATATCTGACTTTCTTGGGACCTTTGCACGTTTAAATTAGACTCCAAGTCACAACAATACTGAGTTAAAGCTTCCTTTTTAACATCTGAAACTTCCTGCAACTGCTCAGACTGCAAAACGAGACAACAGATGCATTTCTGCACCTCAGCTGGATTTGTACAGACGCATGAAGGTGGTTTACATCTCCCCTCTTGTTCTCACTGGGTGTCTCTAATTGTTGCTCCTCCCACTGTGGATTTAACAGTGATGATTTCAAACAAACCAGAAAATTCTGGGCGAGGATCACATGAGTCAGAGCGGCTGCTGCGGTTTAATGTCACCGAGACAAATAGATGAGATTCCTCTGGGAGCTAAAATATTGTCTGAACATCGCAAAGGATGCAAGAATATTGTTCTTTAATACTTGACTCAAAGAAAACCCTCGCCTGATCTAAGATAAATGGAACCTGTGCTCCATGAATGCTCTTTCGAGACAAATAAAAATACAAAAGTTAACCCGTATCCTTACACAGACTAGGCGTGGTTCAGGAGTACCCTGAGTGAGCTGCATACAAAACCGATTAGGGACCACCAATGCAGGAACACAAAAGTGAAGCTGCTCAGCAGAACGGCTCTTTCCAAGCAGCTACGGTCTGATGACAGAAGGCGAGATAGAGATCAATCAGGGCAAGGGCCGGCTTGCCTTGACTGACACTAATCGGCGCACAGCGCAGAGCAGTGTGCGAGGTGCCGTCGGCTATGCTGAAAGCAGTGACTCACTTTACCTGCTGATACATGAACCGACGCAGCAAACTTCACTGTGCAGCTTCCAGGTTTTTATTGTGAAACTAAGCTACGCTGGTGAGCTCGACTCAGGAAGTTTCTGATCAGTCCATCTGCTGAACACAAACACCACAGAGGAAGAACAACACAGACAGCTGATAATCCTGCCGCCCCTCCACCCTCACACCAGCCAGGATGTCTTAGTCCAATAATAACAGATGACTCCTGATGTTTTAAAACAAACCCCAACAATCTTCAAACTGGAGACTAGTGTAGCACCTGAACCACCGCAGAAAGAGGAGTCAGCTCCATGCAGCCCGCAGGAGGGGGCTCAGACCATAAACATCTGGCTGGAACCAGTTTAAGCTCAATTTACTGGTTTCACAAAGGTGGCTCAGTGTTAGACACAGTAACAGGTCAGAGCATCACGCAGACACAGCTGACGCTAAAACTGATCCCAGTGCAGAGGCTTTAAAACGCAGAAGAGTCGTGAAACCAGCAGGCGACCCCACAGTGGCCACGCCCACCTTTCAGTCTGCAGACTTAACACTTGGTCCTAAATAAAGTCACTCCTGCAAACGTTAAACACCTTTTCTCAGATCACTTGACTGAGTACAGTTTCTTTTTGATAGTTTGTTGGTCGTTTCTTAAAAGCAACAGAATCTCTGCCTCGCCTCCAAAACCCTGTTTTCCATGTTTTAATGGTAATAAAGTATTTGTTAATAAAATGAAAGATTTAAAGATGATCTCTGTCTGCACTGGGCTTACGTCACAGAAAATGAATCCTTAGCAGACGGGGAACCCCTTTCAAGTCCTCGCTTTTGGGCCAAATCTCTTGCAGCTATTTTCCAGAAGATAAAATTGAAAAGATTAAAAAAATGTTGTTGGAAACCAAGAAAGTTAAACAATCCCAAAGTGGAAGAAAGCAGTGAAAGCGCTGACACACTGAGGAAGCTTTCTTCTCATCAGATTATTTTAAACACTAGAAAAATAGGAGCAGTGATCCTGCTGATCTATAACATCTGTTCCTCTTTATTAGGCCACTGTGAAGATGGTCTCTCAGCCCAGAGTCAGCAGAGGTCCGCACCTCAGTCCTGAACTCCTTGCTCGGTTTTTATTTGGTGTCTCTGTCTGTGTTTCTCTTTAGTCTGGGTGAATCTGTCCTCACAAAAAAATAAAATCATTACAATTCACCCCAATATGCAGCTGCTGTGTTTTATGTAACATTCATCGGTGAGCAGCAGCTGCTGTCACTGTGGATTACACAGCATGTGCAATATGGACACCTTTTGTGTTCTTTAATGTTTTCAGTATTATTCCAAAAAGGACTTTGGAAAGTTAGGTATGATTAAAAATCTGGATCTCTAAGACCACAGACTGTATGTAGAAGATGGACATAGCTGCCATGACATCATCCACTGGTTCTGGACTCCACATTTTAAAGGTTCAGTGTTAGTGACTTAGAAACGACCTCATTCAGTTATCAGCTAGTGCTAGCTAGCTCCCTTTGCCAGCTGGCTGCATCACTATTTATTACTATAATGGACTAATAACGCACTCAGCAGGACTGGAGTCTTTAGCAGGCACTGATGTTATTATCAGACTATTATTCAGATAACTTTAAACACTCCATCATGGACGTGAGGCCTGAGGTGAGACCTTCGTCAGCTTCCAGCTGCTGTTCAAACTTCCTCAGCAGCACTTTGTTTCACAGAAACAGCATCCTGAGCCGAACACGTCCTCGGGATGTTTTCGACCATCTCACTCTGTCTCCGGGACTGGAAATCCAAACTAAAATATCCAGGTTGTGCATCCATAATCACCTTTTATCACTGCCTTACTAAAATTTCTGACTTCAGGTGATCGACTGATAAAGTCTCAAGAACTTTTATTAAAGAAATAAAACATTTTAATTTGAGTAATTCATGAGTACAGATTAGTTTTTAATAGGTTTAAGAACAGAAAGGGAGATTTTACACCACCTGGTTAGAAGGTGTAATAATGAAAAGCTTATTAATACATTTAATATAAATGTAGAACACATTTACCTTTTTTCCATGAAATCGTAAGACCAACACTAAAACAGTATCAGTAATGATCTATCTGTTATTAATAAACCCGTTTGCTATGAACTCATAACCTGAAAGCTGGTCGTGCAATATTAGTAACACAAACCTGGCATTAACATTAATAAACACCATTTATTAAAGAGCAGTTTTTCAATGTATTTGCTAAGTTTGCTAAAACTGTAATATGAAAACTGGTAACGTGTAGCGTTGAAACAATATTAGTAACGCGCTCGGAGTTAATAAAATCAGCAGCTATGTGTCACTACCAAGTACCAAGCAGTACTTCAGTGCAGTACTCGAGGATTACAACTACTTCCCATCCCGTTTTACTCGGTTTCAGTTACAGCATCAGCTGCAGGTTGGTTCGGTTCTCTGACCTTGGACGTCCGGTCCGTCCGGGACTCCCGCAGCGAGCTGAGCGCCGATGAGTGACAGCAGAACCGGGACACACCAACCCATGCTGGACCTCAAAGAACCGGCTCTGGAAACTTTAAACCGGAGATCCCGGAGGTACAGAAACCCGTGCAGGTCCAAAGCGATGCTGGACTTGGGGGAACCGAAGGAGAACCCGAGGAGCTCTCCAAAGAAGGTCGGAGAAGCTGGAGGACGGAGAGGGGAGCAGGGGCAGTTTCAGCCAGGAGGAAGGAGCAAGAGGACCGAGAGAGCAGGCTGTATCCACACCGACGAACAGCAGCGGTGAGCGGTGAGGAGAGGAGCCGAAGCACCGCAGGACGAACCGAGCAACTGACGGGCGGGTTCACGAGCACAGCTGGAAACTGCTGCTGGCGCGCGCTCAAGTCGTGCGCGCGACCCGAGAGCAACAATAACAATAAAAGAAAATCAAATTAATTCAACTTTAAAAACAACAACAAAGTAAAAACAGAGAAAGAAAGTTTTTTTCGTAGGTTAAAGTTTTCTTTTCTTGAAGTGAAACATCTGCACTTCACTTTTTTGGATAACAAACAGAGAAGCAGCTCGGATCAGATTACATAACAGCGAATAAGGGGTCGAGAATCAGTTTAGTGCCTGATGGCTGCAGCTGTGAGGGCAGTAAACACATCACTCCTCCATCCATCACAGCAGGTCAGAGGTCAGGTGTCAGAGGTCAGGAGCTGCCTCCCAGGAGCTCTGATGTCCGTACCACCTTTGTGTTCTGGGACCCTCATTCAGTCCTGCAGGGGGCCAGCTGAGGGTCCAGGGCCAGACTGTGACACCCCCGGGTGCAGGGTCCTTGTGTGAGTTCAGAAAATAATTTACAAGAAGAATTAGAAGAAAAACGTCCGGAAGTTCAGGAAGTGGACCTCTGTTGAATCCTTTTGGATGGCTAATGGAACTAGCTGAAAAAACACACATGGCATGCTGTGCGATACGTCCCACGTGTTTGTACTTCAGTGTCCATACAGGATTTTATTAGCCTGGTACTGCAGTGATTTGCAATTTAATTCAATTATATTTATACAGCGCCAAATCACAAGTCAGCTTAAGGTTCTTTATATTGTAACATAAAGACCCTACAATAGTACACACAGAGAAAAACCCAACAATCGTATGACCCCCTGTGAGCAGCACTTTGGCGACAGTGGGAAGGAAAAACTCCCTTTTAACAGGAAGAAACCTCCAGCACAACCAGGCTCAGGGAGGGGCGGTTGGGGGATCGTCTTTACAGGCTGAGACCTCAGTCTAAAGTCTGTGTGTGATCTCCAGCGATGGGCAGTAATGCATTACTGTAATCCGATTACTTTTTCAAGTAACAAGTAATGTAAGGGATTACTATTGCAAAAAAAGTAATTTGATTACTGTTACTTTCCCATAAGCAAGCTGCGTTATGATGACATTATTTTATTTTATATGCAGGAAATAGGTTTAAATGTTAAACAATTTCTTCAAGTCAAAGACTGTTGAATATAATTTATTTTCTGCTTGATGCATAAAATTAAAAGTTTAAAAGTAATTAAACAAGTTTTAAAAAGAGGCTTTCCATTTGATTCAATTTTATATGACGACAGAGCGTTCTCACTCCCGAGGCGTAACATGTCGACGTTTTGTCACGTCCCGCGGCGTTCCTGAGGAACGCGAAAGGAGACCTTCGGCGTTCTTATGGTACGCGGCGGGTTATGGCTGGGATCCAGTGCAATGACGCGCCCGCGGTAATAGACGTTCCAGCCCTGTATTCCAGCCCTAAACCTAACCTTATCCCTAGCCCTAACCATAACCTTATTCCTGAACTTAACCAGGACTTTAATGATGTTAAATAGCGTGTTTCTAAGCGATTTGAAGAAAAAGAGCGAACATGTGTAGGTTCAGTCCAGACGGTTCTCATATTTCCTCTTTTTCCGAGGTCGTCATTTAGGAACGTGGTGGGTAGCCGAAAACGTAATATGGTGACGATTTGTCACCTAGCGTAAAATGTTACGCTTTGGGAGTGAGAACGGGTTGATGACGATTATGCATAAAAATTAGAAATGGGCTGAAAGGTCTGTTGCTTTATTACGTATTCAGGTTGTGTATCATGTTTTTAAAAAGTAACTAAGTAACTAATTACTTTTGATCAGCAAAAAATGTAAGTAATCAGTAAAGCAACTGGATTACTTTTTTGAAGAAGTAATCAGTAATTAGTTACTAATTACTTTTTTAAGCTGTCTGAACTAAATTGTTTGGTTGGTGGGTGGGCGTGTCTTAGATGGGTGGGCGTGTCTTAGATGGGCAGGCTCTACTGAAGGATTCATGTGTGAAGAATTACTCAAGACCAAGCTGGCACAGACTGAGAGGCATCAAGAGGTCGCAGGGCCCTGCAGCCAAACAAACACACATGAAAACATCCATGGATTCATGATCTTAATGTTTCTAAAGTCCTCATCACAAACATGACAGAACATGAAGCGCTGGAGGTTTCCAGGCTCCCGTCCTGATGTAAAGGAGAGAAGCGAGCTTCAGTGAAAACGTAACGTGGGAGTGATTCTCGATGAAATCAGCAACACAAAGAAGGCGAGCTCTCGGTTTCTGCTGCGGTCCTCCCTGCATGCCTCCTCTCACGCTTTCAGACTGTTTGTTTCTGACTCCAGCACGTTGCCATGGAAACTCGTGTTTAACAGCAGGTGAGGGGAGGAAGGAAACGCCACCTCTCCACCTCCAGACCTCCGTCTCCTTTTTGCCTCCTCAGTCTGAAGCAGACGTGTGTGAGGAGTGAAAAAGTGTCACACAGAGTTTGTAATTCTGTCTTAACTGCGTCTGGAGAAAGAATCCAGCTCCTCAAACTGCTTCCAGATCAGCTCATTAAGCCCAGCAGAGCAGGAGGGGGGGGGGCACGCACATTAACAGCACGCAGTGGGCGAACAGAAGCCAGGCCAGGATTCCTGCGAGGTGGCGTCATGTGCAGCTGTACGTCCCCGGGGTCCAGACCCGGTCAGGATGGGTGGAGTCTCGGGGCGGAGGGGTGGGTCAAAAACATTCATTTCTATTATCCTGACATGTGGATGTTGTCTGCTGTTGTTTCATTGTCCAGTTTACGGTAAAATCACCTCTCGTGACCTCTCGTTTCAGTCAGAGTGAGTCCAGATGATTCTTACTTCTCATTTTCAGCAACATGTTTTCATTCCTAAACTAGTAGAGTGGCTTAGCATGATTACCAGCTCAAACAATAATCCTTATTTATCTTACAGCGCACTGTGGAAACTTTATTCTGACTGGCTCAGAAGATTTGAACAGAAGCGAGAAGGGAGCATACTTGATCAAATAAACATCACGTTGTATTAAATAAGACCTCAAATTGCTGTTGGAGATAACAAACTCCATCAGAGGTCACGGAAATGAGCGGAAGAGTCACCGTGCTGTCGTGGAACCAAGACGGTGAAGCTCGGGTTCGGATTTGGGAACAAATCCATGTGTGTGAATGAGACAGAAGCAGGGAAGGAGAGACAGAGTTTAAATACCTGGGCTCCAACGCAACAGACAGCACACAAGAGAGGTGAAGAGGAGCTGGCGGAGACGGGAGCCGTTTATTGTGACAGGATAGTTTAAAGATGGAGGCAAGACCTGCTGTGATGTATCATTTGGAGACACCGGACGCCGAACTGAAGATGTTCATGAGCGGGATGGACGGGATTAGAAATGAGCGCGTGCAGAGGAGGGAGGCGGGGATGGAGCTTTCAGGCAGGAGGAGAAGAGCATGGATGAAGGAGGACATGCAGAGGCATGACAGAGGAGGATGCTGGGATAGGAGGAGATGGAGGCAGATGATCTGCTGTGGCGGCCCCTACAGCGAGCAACCAGAAGAAAAAGTAGTAGTTGGTGACTGGAACCACGCTGGAAATGTGGTAATTTGGACCAAAATCAATGAAACTCCAGGTTGAAAGCCAGTAGAATTCCAGCATGAATAACAACTGGTAACGAGTTGTTGTTATATGTGCTGGTTTAGGCGCTCTTCTGCTTCTGTGCACCTCCCCTCTGTCATTCGCTGATAACTTCCGCTGCTGGTGACGTTGATTATACGGAGAAAAAAATCATTTAAGCCACAAAACAACAAATGAACCCAAATAAGCTTTGTTTGAATCCTCCATGAGTACGGAGCCATCCGTCTGCATTTAAAGCTTTATTCTCTTGTGTTGTCGTCACATGAAACTTACGCTGAAACATGTTCAGAACAAAGATGCATCAGTAGTGAACGCTGTCAACATTTCTTCTCCTTTTGCTTCATATGATGTTGAAAATAAAACAGAACACATGAAAACTAAACAAAACCATGTGACTCCACTTTTCCTTTAATTCATTTCTGTACATACACCAGCACCAAACTCCACTTCCTGTCCACAGAGGCTCGTTTGTGTCGATAAATTATTTTTTCATTTGTTAAACTTCACACTGACGCTTCCTGTTTGGTCAGATGGACCCAAACTTTGTCTAACTGCACCTGGATCTTATCCTGAACATTTTCACTGCTGTCCGCGGAGTCCCACGGCGGCCTCGGCCCGTCGTCCTCAGCCGTCTCCTTCGTCCTCGTGGTCGTGATGGGAGCCGATGTCCTGCAGGTCCGGCGGCTCCTCCAGCGCCTCGTGATGGGCGTGCTGGATTGACACCATGCCTGTCAGGAGGGCGTAGCTCAGCATGGCGCCCAGAGCCACCAGAGCAGACAGGAACTGCTTCCTCCGCTTGTTGGGAACGTGGTCGAAGTCTCCGCCTTCAGAGTGGGCGGAAGTCTTCTGACTGAAGCTCTCTGAACCAAAAAACAACAACAGGGAGAATGTCAGCCGTGTTTCTACTGCGTTTCTACTCTAGGCAGTTTCTGCTCGCTCACGGTGGCTTCGCTAACCGCGGCTTCGCTAACCGCAGCGTGAAACACTACATCACAGCTGCTGGTGCACTTTGGTGCCATTTTGGCTCATCGTGCACATTCTGACTTTTTCTGTCTCGGTTGGGGTGGAAATACGAGTGTGCGGACCGGGTCTGCTGCCGTATCAATGCAGGGATTCCCACAGGACACATAAGGAAATCACCGCAGCAGTTGGAAACGAGAATTCCTGTGGAAAACTTTGCTTCTCGTCTTCCTATCGAAGAGGCGAAGCGCTTCATTTCTTTCCTGAGCTGTGATCATCCAGCAGCTCCAGAGAGCCCGGCGCGCTTCGAGCACCAGTTTGAACACTAATGTCAGAGTTTCCAGGAGCAATAAACAAAATGTCAACCACAACAACGTGTCAATGTCCCATTACTGAAGCATAAGACGAAGTTGTGTAGACCATCAGGAACCGCTGCAGGTTGCATTAACACGAGCTACAATTCAGAAGCTCTCAGGATCCTTCACAGG